ATTCTACCCCACAGGATGGTGGGTGACCTCCCCGGTCCCTTTTAGCTCTCAGCAGGAGCTCCTACCACTGCCACTGTGGAAAAGGCCTGATATGGGGAAAAGAAGACCTCAGAAGGCTTACAAGTTCATCTGAAAGACTGGAAAAGTTTCCTAGAAACATGACTGCAGTTCCAAAAAGAAAAGAGACAGTGGCCTGGGTTCAAGTCACAGCTCATAAAACCATTTCTTAGCTTTGTGATCTTGGTCATTTTGTTTTTACTTCCCTCATCTGTAAAATGGGGAAAATAATGGTTTCCACCTTACCAGTCATTGTGAAATGAGTTAATATTCAGAACCATGCCTGGCATATAAGTTCTCTAGATTGTTATTTACGGCTGTCATTACAAAAGTGACCACAGATGGGAAGGATTTTCTTTCCATTTCTCTTTTAATCCTGCCCCCCTCCCCCAAATACTCCATAAAAAAGCAAGGGTGAAGAACAAGTCCAAAGTCTGCTTCTAGATTCCGTGCTTAGCTGAACTCATTGGAAAACCAGCCCAAGTGCCACTGATCAACCTGTTTTTGTCCAGAAGCCAGCACCTCTAGGAGCAGGGGTCCAATCGAGGGCTTGGAAGAAGGCCCCAGCTTTCCACTCTCCACTGTGCTAAGGGTGGCAGATGGCACGGGCTTTTGTCACGAGCAGCTCAACAACGATCATACATCTTAACATAAACTAAAAAGAAAAAGCAGGAAAAAACAAGCTGCGCAGTCTTAAATGAATTTGTTAACAGTCTGTTTCATATCACCTCAGGGGAAATTCCACTGCCCAGAAACACTCCCTTTCTCCAACTAAAGCCCAAACAAGAGAAAACCGATGCCCAAGTGAAGGTCCCTCAAATTATCTCAGGAGCAGAAATTCCCAGCTCTGGCCTCTCCCTGGACTTTGGAGGCTGGTGAGTGGCAACAGCCCTGGGATGAGAATCGGGAGATGTCAGTTCAGGATCTTTGGCCCTGAGCATGTTGGTGGCCTCTCTCAATCTTGGCTTTTTTCTTTGCTCTACCTGTTCCGTGAAGGGTATCCTCAGGTGGATGAAACATGCATATTTGAGACCCTCCATGACCTGGGCCCATCACCCCTCCAGTCCGGCACACCAGAGCTCTGGAGGGGGTTGCTCTGGAGTGAGGACCACAGACCCTACCAGTCAGCTGCATCCAGCTGAGCACTTACTTCAAACCCCTGGTCCCGACACATGAGAACATAGGGGTGACATGAGAACCTAGCAGGTTCTTGGGGTGAAAGACAACAATGTGCGTAAAGACCTTAGTGTCTCGCATGTAGTAGAATTTTGTGCACATTAGCACGCTCATCTCCCATTCCTTCCCAGACAAGCCTCAGGGCCTCAGGGGAAAGGTCAATGACGTCATGCATTCTCTGTTCTTTCCCATCCCTGGCCTCTGGTGTTCCTCTGCCTGAGAAATCATTCTACCCTTCTTCATGTGTTAAATCCTATCTGCCTTCTAGGGTCCACCTCAAATGCCACCTCTTCCATGCAGTCTGCCTGAATCCTGCCTAGCCAACGCAAACTGTCCTTCTGAAAATCCACAGCAGTCCTGGCACATACATTCCACTCTCTACTTTGTCTTACTAGTGGACCTCCTGTCTTATCTCTTCTCTCTGCTAGGAGAGACCCTGTTGATGGCAAGGATTCTGCTTCTCTAGTTTCTAACACAGAAGAGGTCACAGCCTCAAGTTGCAGTTTCTTAGAACTGCAAATTCTCAGGTCCACCTCAGACCTATTGAATTAAAAAACAACAACAAAAACTGGGAGTAGGACTCAGATATCTGTATTTTAATAAGCTCTCCAGGAAATCCGGAAGCTTGCCAAATTTGGGGAACCACTCGAATAAGGGTTTTACTGAATGAATAAATGATTGAATAATGAGTTAAAGTACAAGTGCCATAAAAATGCGTGGGATAATAATGATGATGACCAGTTCTGACAGCCTCAGTGGTAAAACAGGACCTTTGTTTCCCACCTGACGCAGGCCCAGTGATGACCACTGGTTTCAGTTATAACTGCAAAGACATGGAGAAAGGGAGTTTGTGTAAGTGAGGTATGTAGTGTGCGTGTGTGTGTGCGCACGCGTGTATCAGTCTTCACCTCCATTGAGGTGAAAGGGTTCGTAGAAATGGCGTTTTTTGCTTTTTTTCCCTGAGGCCTTCTCTGTAGGCAACTGTAGTTAAAGAGGTTCTCTGTCTGGGCAGCCCCGATGGCCCAGCAGTTTGGTGCCGCCTTCAGCCCAGGGTATGACCCTGGACACCCAGGATCGAGTCCCATGTCAGGCTCCCTGCATGGAGCCTGCTTCTCCCTCTGCCTGTGTCTCTGCCTCTCTCTCTCTCTTTCTCTCTCTCTCTCTCTGTGTCTCTCATGAATAAATAAATAAAATCTTTTTTTTAAAAAAAAAAAAGATGTTCTCTGTCTGACAGAAACTCTGCCAAGGATTTCCTGGCTGAGACTTTTTTTCCTTCCAAAGGAAAGAGACAAAAAGAGTAACCCAAAGCCCATTATTTTCACATGTCAGGCAAAGTTTCGAGGTGAGTAGAGGGAATAGGGTTCAAAGCGACCAAAAATGCAGTTTTGATATGAACCGAAGGGGCTCATCCCAACACTCATCTTCCCTCCTAGCCACACATCAGGCAGAGGACCCTGATGAGGAGGAAAACCAAAGAATTCTGAGGGGGGTGGAACACTCAATGGGCCTCTCTTGACAGAGAAGCCATTTCCAGGCACCAAGGAGGACAGTTTTGCTTTTATAATCTCCATCCCTCCAGAACTTGGAAAGCATGGGCCAACTCATAGGACGGCGAGTCTTTCATCCCCATCCAGACTTTTGTCTCTGGCCTCCTCCTTTCCCCCAACTGACCATAACTGGAGAGAGAATTAGCCACTCAGGGGCGCCTGGGTGGCTCAGTGGTTGAGCGTCTGCCTTTGGCTCAGGTCGTGATCCCAGGGTCCTGGGATCCAGTCCCACATCGGGCTCCCCGCAGGGAGCCTGCTTCTCCCTCTGCCTATGTTTCTGCCTCTCTCTCTGTGACTCTCATGAACAAATAAATAAAATCTTTAAAAAAAAAAAAAAAAAAAAAAAGCTTCTCCCATGGCTTTCTTTAAGCCCTTGGGGTGAAGTACCACTTCCCAGGCCACCTCTCTGCCACCTGGTCTCCCTGTCCCCACTGCCCCACCCCCTCAGCCGGGCGACAGTGACCCAATTCTGGTGGCTACTGAGACTGCTCCGCCAAAAGCCCAGGAGGCTCTGTCAATCTGAGACGAGGTCATCTGCAACTGATGCCGCCTGGGCCGGGCCCCGGAAAAACAAACTGCAGCTCTGTGGCTTTTTGGCAGCCAAGCTTCGACTTTTGTTTTAACAAGAGGTGGGAGGGAGAATTGGAGCCCTGTGGTTATCTTCATTTTAAAACATTTAAACAGTCTGTTCACCTGTTTGGCACTTTGTGTCCTCTAGTAAGTCCCTCGGCCCCACCCCTTCTAAAATAGCAACAATCCTGGATCGTCCTTCGCTGTTGCTTATATTCTCAGAGGACTGGTGCGGATGTCCCAAGCTTTGTCCTCTCCTGGTGAAGGGACCGTGCACTGGACTACCCCTGGGATTCCTCAGAAAGGCAGATAAGCCAGTCCTCAGTTCTCAAAAGGGAAGGATAAGGGTGAGGAGAGGTCCTATTTGGAGGAACCACTCCCAATGGCTACAAGATACCTTTACACGCAGAGGGAGACACTGCCGAGCCAAGAGTCTAATTTACTTTCCATACCAAACAACAGCCCTCCTCACTGCCTTCTGACCACATCACCAATGTGGGGGGAGTGGGGAGATCAGAGAGAAGAAGGGGAGAAAGGACAGGGTGACGGTGGCAGAAAAGGCACGCTTTGACAAACGAGCCCAGTTTGTTTCCAAATGGAGGGAGTGATGGGGGCTTAGAACTATCTGGGGAAATGAGCTACCATTTCTCTCTCTACAGACGCTTGTGAGAACCAGCGCAGTGCTGCTCACCTCTGCCCTAAGGACTCTCCTGCTTTCCCATTCTCTGTCCAGCATCCTGCAGTGTCTCATCCTAGCTTCAAGAAGACTGAAATACCAAGCACGTTAGTGAACTCCTTGAACCTGGCTGGCTCCCTAGCGATTGTGCCTGATGTCACCACCCTTGTGCAAGTCTGAAGGTACAAAGCCAATGGGCTCAACCAAACCAGTGGTGAGATGAGGACTGTTTCCATAGCAGTTAGCTGAGCGTAACAGCAGAGATACACTGGAGAAGCAAGCCTACAGACATTTCAGCTTGAGAAGTGGGAAGGACACAGAGGGAGCTAAACCTCTGGACTTCCTTGCTCCAAGAGGGCTCCTAGACTTCCTTGCTCCAAGAGGGCTCCTAGACTTCCTTGCTCCAAGAGGGCTCTGGGAGCAGGGAACTAGGGAGAAGGTGATCCCTTTAAAGAACCAGAAACAGAGGCAGCTCCTTGATGCTGTATGGGGAATTCTGGAAAGTCCTTAAGGTTCTTACAATGAAATAGCATTACAGCTATCCACAGAGCCTATAGCCTGGCATTCACAGCAGCTTGGCTGCTATAATCTCTCTTTATGGAGATGGCAAAGCCTGGGTGTCTGGGCTAGCCCACAGAAGGATGTGAATTGTTGTCACTGCTCAGCACACACTGGAGGGGATGTTGCAGAGAAGCTCAGGCAGGAGCTTCCTCAGCAGACCAGGTAACCACGGCCTCTTCAGAAGGCGCAGACCATATTCCTTAGTCTTTAGCCAATGGTTTCTGAAGAACACCAGAGCACTTCGCCTCTACAGAGGAATTTCTTCTGGAACCCAGCAACAGATTCCACTCACAACACTGTCCCCCGGGAGAATGAGAAAATGTGCCCAGTCCACAACTTCCCAATGAGCAGAGATGGTAACCAGGAGGACCTTGGGGTACCAGAGACCCCGGGAGGGGCGGGCAAGGACTTACACCAGAGTTCATAGTAGTAGTTGCAGCACTGAGACTGTCCACAGCAATGTCCTGTGTCACAAATGTAGCTTTGATTGTTGGTGCCCACACAGGTTTCCTTATCCTAAAAAAATAAAATAATAATCATCAAAAAAATTTAAGCATATGAAATTATAGCTTTTATGTATTTTTAAAAATATTTTATTTATTTGTTTGTTTATTTACTTATTTATGAGAGACACATAGAGAGAGGCAGAGACATAGGCAGAGGGAAAAGCAGACTCCCTGTGGGGAGCCCAATGTAGGACTCAATCCCAGGACCCCAGGATCAAGACCTGAGCTAAAGGCAGATGCTCAAGCACTGAGCCACCCAGGTGCCCCCAAATTATAGCTTTAATTTTATTTTATTTTTTAAGATTTTATTTATTTATTCATGAGAGACACAGAGAGAGAGAGAAAGAGAGGCAGAGACACAGGCAGAGGGAGAAGCAGGCTCCATGCAGGGAGTCCGACATGGGACTTGATCCCGGGTCTCCAGGACCACACCCCAGCCAAAGGCAGCACCAAACCGCTGAGCCACCCGGGCTGTCCCAAATTATAGCTTTTAAATGCCACTTTTCTTCCCATCCCCCTCTTCCCAGTTATCTGGCCACCCTCCACCAAGATGATCTGTTCATTCCATGAGGGAAAAAAAATTAGAAAGAACCCACCACAACAACAGACTGAAGGTTTATTAAAGGGGGAAGAGGTTTCGGCACACAAAGTTGACTGATAAAGAGCAAAGTTTTCCTCAGACAGGAAATGGATGCCTCATTTTCTTTATGTCCAAGCAGAAACACTTCATGTTCCGGTGTTACACTCAGCCAGTAAAAAGACAATGGTTCTCATGTAATTAGCAGTATGTTTTAAATAAAATTGGCTTTCTGTGAAAGTTCCCGGAACAATTAATGCAGTACATATCCTAGGATTAGCATCTAGTCAGTCACTCCGTCCTTCAAAACACACTCTGTTCAAGGTTAATTACAGTGTGACTCCGAAGAGGGCCAAGATAACTTGCCACTAAAATTCTTTGCTCTTTAAGAAAAAGGGTGACCTCCTCAGGTGACCTCATCCAATTTCAATTTGCTAGATAATTTTCTGATTATCAAATGATCTCTTAATGATCTTGACTGGACCTAGGATTCACACCGTGCCTTGTCAGGACAGTTCCAGAAAGGGCACTGCTGAGTAACCACCCTGAGGTGTGCCAAATTCTATTCACAGTCCTGGTGGATGGGGATGGGGGTGAAGACACTTTTTGACATTTCACACTTAAGATAGGAGATATCCCCGCAGCCAACCTGGACTTCAGCCCCAAAATGTACTGTGGGCCCCACCACATATGATGAGACTGTTAAGTCGGGTGCTCCACCTGGCTTTCAACATTTCTTTATTCTAAACAAGTGACACATCCATTTACTGGGCACTGTCTTTGTGCCAAGCACTGTGTTGGGTACGTGGGATAGATGAATAAGACATTGTCCCCATCCCCAAGAAGCTCGCAGTTAAAAGGGGGAGGGGGGGAGGCTGTTCAGCAGAGAAACTAAAACCACAGTATTGTATTTGCTGCTACTCAGGCTGACCCTGCCCACAGTGTACATCCGGGCGGAGGCCTGCCAGTGGAAACTTAAGTCACATGGTCAGTTCCTCCTCTCTGGGCCTTGCTTTACACTACACTACTTGGCCAAGGGTATAAACAAGGCACTCCACTAACCATCTACAGGGCTAAGGCTGGGCAAAGTCAGCTCGGGTACCTGATGTCACAGGGAGAGGACAAGGGAGAGGGCACAGCTAGAGATCTGCTCCCGGGCTCACGGCAGGTCTCTGCCACAGTTGCTCAGGCGGTTCCTGGTCTTTAAGAGCCTAACAGCCTTGTGTGAGGGGGTTTAGGAAGAAGGAAACACTGGGAAGGCATCGGAAAGCTCTGACAGTGAGGGTTTCACAACATGGCCAACAGAGGTCTTCCCATCTCTGCCTTCTCATGTCTACTATAAGCAACATGGAAGGCCTAGTGGGGGGCTGTCTGGTCGGAGGGCTCCTCTGAGGCCTGGCATGTGGAGAGAGCAGATCTGTGCTCACTTCTTTTGCTAGAACACACCCTCCCTGACTTCAGAGCAAAACATTGCTTTCATAAAGACATCAAAAAGTTTCTCCCAAGTTTACCAGGCCCTGAAATGCCATTCTTCTGGCACTGGTTTGCAAAAGCACAGTTCAAAGTGTCCACATAGTTTCTAAAAGAGGCTGTGCTGCCTACACTCCAACACATGAAAGAATCCAGTGACACTTCTGCCTCAGGAAAATTCACCAGACGAGGTCCAGACTCTGAACACAGGACAGCCAACTAGTCCTAAGTGAGGCGTGGAATGGAACGCGTTTGAAATCTAAACAAGCGGTATCCTCATGACCTACTGGTGTCAGCTTTTCTCTTGGCTTTTCCATCCCCCGGCACAGGAAGCCTGTTATAAACAGGACCCTGCTCTTTTTCCCTGCTTTGCCTCCACTTTCCTAGGGAGAGCAGAACTGTAGAAGCATCACTTAATCCAGCGCTCCTCAAACGCTTTCTACCCAGTAAATATCAACCCCTGCTCTTGTTCCCCTGCCCTCCCCACCCCTAACAGAGTTCGAAGGTTGCCTGGGACAGTCACAGTAATAGGAACTGTCATTCTCTGCCACAGAAGGAAGGAAAGCAGTGGGCAGTATAGGAAGACAAGAAGTGGGCTCTCGTGAACCTTTAGCAAGGAAGAAATGGAGGATCAGGAGGGTAAGTGAGGTGGGAGTCCCAAGGTAAGTTCCTCCAGAAGCCTGGTGGTATGAAAGGAAAATCCAAGAGCATAGGGTTTGATCCTGGCTCTCTCGGGTTTGGTGGGACTACAGAGGACCAGGACCTGGACACAATGGCCCTCAGATGAGTTAAAGACACTCTCTCATGTCTCCTTCAACCCCAATTCTTTATTAGCCTATCCACCTCCCACCCCCTCACACCTCAGCCTCGAGTCAATACAAGAGCTCCTGAAATTTGTCTCCTCTTATTCAAAGAGCTAGCAAAGAACAGAGGCGTGCAAATGCTGCCCAATGCTCTTCCAGCCTTCCCTGTACAGGGGGCCTAATTGTGGTTTACATGGAGGACTCTCAGAGACTTCCGGTGGCTCAAGATCCATGGTGAGGAAGGTATGGTTGAGAGCCAGGAAGATCTGGGTCTAAAGCACAGCTCCTATACTATTGTCTATTAATTAACCATGTGACGTTGGTTAAGTGACTTAACTTCTCTGAGCTCTTAATATTAATGTCACTCTGTGAACCATTATTGCCAGGCTAGAAAGACTGCCTAAACAGCACTTTGCATTCACTTAGAGCTATTTCAGAAGAGTGAAGTTCACTGGCAATGTGGGTTGCTCCAGACACACAAAGAACAGAAAAAGCGACCGGATGGAATGCAATGGATAAAGTTAAAATATGAAAAATTTTCAGCACGTTTTATGATTATGATTATTCTCTGCCTTGTTTCCAAGCATCTTCAAGCACCTTACACCTATTACATTGTTCAGACTAAGTCTTAAAGCGTGGGCAGTAAATATCCTTCCCGCTCCCTCTCTCCAGAGAGTGAACCAAAGAATGAGTTGTGCTCTCCCTATGGGCAAGAGCTCTGACTCCTCACCAACCACCCCCATTTCCAGTATGGGCACAGGGTTTGGTACATAACAGTTTGCTTAACCAAACACCAGCTATTCAACCTGGGGTGAATGATATCGCTAATGTGTACTGAGCACCTGCTATGTGCCAGGCACTGTTCTAAACGCCTTACATATATTCCTTAATCTTAACCTGAAGGCAACTTGTGAAGTGGGTAGTGTCAGAGAATTGAGGCGAAGAGAGGCTGAGTAACTTGTCTAAGGTCACACAGCTACCAAGTGCTTTGATCTCTTTTGTTTGGCCCTAGGGCCGGAGCTTTTACTAGGAAGCTTCAGCTTCTTTGGTTGAGATTATACTTCTTCAGCTGCTTAAATAAACCCACTGAAAGCCCCAAACCAAAGTCAACATTTTGTCTTTGAAGGAAAAGATAAGGACTCTGCCTTGTGGAGCTCTATGACTTTGGGAAGAGGATCCTTCATCTTCTACTTGGCAGTGAGGAGGAGCAACATGTTCAGGACTCCTCCCTTTTGTTCTTAAAAGGTGGTCTTTTCTTTTCTCTTTTAATTTATTTGACAGAAAGATAGAGAAAGCCAGAGAGCACAAGCCAGAGGGAAGGCCAGAGGAGAGGGAGAAGTAGGTTCCTCCTTGAGCAGGGGGCCTGATGCAGGGCTTGATCCCAGGACCTGAGCAGAAGGCAGATGCTCAACCGCTGAACCACCCAGGCATCCCAAAGATTTTATTTATTTGACAGAAAGAGAAAGAGAGAGAGAGAGAGAGAATGCACACGCATGCGCAGGGGCAGAAGGAGAGGGGGAAGCAGGCTCCCCGCTGAGCAGAGACACCATAATCACCACCACCGACCACCCCCCCACCCCCAACCAATGCAGGGTTCTGATCCCAGGACCCTGGGACCACCATGTGAGCTGAAAGCAGACACTTTATTGACTGAGCCACCCAGGCGCCCTCACAGTTTCTTTATAACAGGTTCTATGTTTCTAGAATTTTGGGGCTATGCAGTTTTGTGCAAATGAAAACATGCTAGGAAGGAGCTATCTTCAAAATGCAAATCTGATCTCGTCACTTCGCTACACCATCTGGTCCCCACTTACCTAACTTCCCTACCTACTTCTTCAACCATCTCCTTTTAGTTAAAGGGCTTTGCTTGTACCATCTCCTTTTCCTAGAATGTTTTCCCCATCCCTCTCCCCCTGGTTGCTAATTTTCTAACCATCTTGGTGATCTCCATTCAAGCTTACCTTTGTCACAGAAGCTATCTGGACCTTCATGTCTAACACCTAGGTCTTATCTCTAGTAAGGTCTCACCGAATCATGTATTTTTCTCTTTCTAGTTGTAGTTTTACCTGAATGATTTACTTTATTATCTTCCACTAGACTGAAAGCTCCATGAGGACAGAGATCATGACCGTTTTCGCCGTTTGCTCATTGTGTCCCCCC